CATAATAAATCAACCAATCAATACGTCAATAACTTATCCTGTTGGAGGAGTTCATTATTACTATTGTAGAGATTCATTTGTTATTAGGTGAGCACTTCCATTAAAATAATAATATGTGGGTCCCTTAACCACTGCATGAAAAATCGAATAACCAATACGCCAATAACTTATTCGGTTGGCGAAGTTCATTATTACTATTGGCGGGCATATCCCATCATCTCCATATCTCTTAAGACAATGCATTGTCTATCTTTATGAAATGATTTCCGATTATGTTTAGCCTTTCTAAAATCACCTAGTATAGACCACTCGGTTGGGGAGCTAACACTATTGATTTTAGATTGAGTGTGTAACGTTATTAATACTCTAATGAAAAATAAAGCATTAAATATCTTGCCATTATAATCTAGACTCTTTAAATCATGCGTAGGGCCTTATTTTTAAAGATCGAATTACAATGAACATTTAATATTTTAATTTTCATGAGACAACCATTCTTGTAATATTAAGACTCTTCAAATCATGCGTAGGGCCTTATTTTTGAAAATCTAATTACAATGGTGTTAATAACGAAGGCCATGGGGCAATGTATAAAAATCCCCGCTCCCACTCAATTGTTAATCATTCCTAATTAGGGTTTTCATTTTATTCATTTACATGATATAATGCATGCAAAACGTCTTGATTTTAATCCAATTAAATTTAGAAAATATTTGGACTTTAAATGATTCACTAATATTTAATTTGAAGCACACTTTAAAAATAATTTACAAAAATAATTTTTCGTTTCCCAATAAGTGCCCTCAAATTAATTAGTAATCAAATCCAATTAATTTTCATAATTTAATTAATATAAATCAAGTCATTTAATTAAATATCATGGATCCAATGCATGAACAATAATAATCAGCAATTAATTATTTCATGCATCACATCAATAATTAAATAACAGACAAAACAAATAAAAACGGCCAATGGAATCAGCTTTTAACATTTAAATGCTCTAACTATTGAGTCTGGAGGTCCTTCATTAGCTTGCGTACACTTGCGGAGGCTTGTACGCGTCAGGATTGGTCAAAACAACACCTGGAAAAGCAAAACAGCACCTGCAGCCAGTAAAAACTTGTTCCCAGCAGCCCCACGTGCCCCAAAGCTTCTCCACGCGCCTGCACGCGCGAGAAGACACTGGCAGCGCGTGGCACGCGCTGCCACGCGCCATGTGGCGCTGGAACTAGCAGGCGCGTGGTCCACACGCGCCTGATTTATAAACATATTGTCTGGCGCGTGCAGTGCACGCGCCAGATGGCTGAACTTAAGCCTTTGGCTGGCGCGTGGTCCTCACGCGCCAACTTGTTGGCCAATGTTGGAGCGCCCTGTAGGCGCGTCCACACTGAATCCTTTTGCATGGAATCTTGGTGCACCTCATTGCACCGGATCAGCAGCCTTACTCCGGTGACTGCACTTGCCGCTGACGGTACTCCGGTCGCCGGAAAATCGCCGTAATAATTCCAGAAATTAAATACAAAATTTCAGAAATTAAATTAAGCCTTAAAAAATTCCAGAAAAATTCCGAAAAATTGCTAAAAAATCCCAGAAAATTCCTGAAGCCTAATTTAATCCTCTTAGACCTTCTTGAAGCTTCATAGCACCCTTTGATGAATATTACATGACTTTAAATAAATTTACAATTTGAAATACAATGGGAAAAATTAAATTTCATCATTGAACGTTCAAACGGCTAAATCAAAGCCTTAATTACATTCAATTAACCTATAAGCTTCATCCATGGCCCAAACACACATCATCATGTATCAATATATATCAATATATTAATTCATACATCAACATACATTAATAAATAAATATATATATGCATATCAAAATTGGATCCATGAATGAAGAATTTCATAAAATCATGATCTCTAGTAATGAATCAAACCATGCTCTGATACCACTGTTGGGAAACGTGCTAGTTTTAAAAACTTTTTGAGGGATTTAAATTCATAGATCTTGATTCATTACATAGAGACAAGTTTTGTGCAAAAATAAAACATGATGTATCATTCAATTAAAAAATTGAATACTTACATCAAGGTTTGAGTAAACCTTAGATTTCTCCTCTAAAGTGAATGTTCTCACTTATTGTAGATCCCTTAGAAAGATGCCTTCTTCTTGGATCTCCATCTTCTTGGTAATTGTTTAGCCTTTAGGAATCACTCATAAGCCTCCATAAATGACCTTGGAAAACTAGGCTTGTGGGAGCCTCCATTAGATGAGAACATAAATCCTAATTTTCTAGAGAGAGAAAATAAATTCCTTTTTCTTGCTCATTCAAAATCACCCCCTAAAATATACATAGACCATGTATATTTATAGGCAACATAAAAATAAAGAAAAGGAAACAACAAATCCTTCTCCATCTCTAATTCATATGTCTCAAATCTAATATGATTCCAATATCAAGTTGGGCTATGAGTGAGAATCCATTGGGCCTATTATTTTATTGGCTACAATGAATTAATAATTGGCCCGGTCCATGGACCCAATTCAATTAATTCATAAATTAATTTCTACTCCACTAAAAGAAATTAATTGAACTCCAATTAAATAATAAATAACCTCTAAGTCAATATTGCACTTTGACCCCTCTATGCATAATTAGTTATCGGATAAATAAAGCCATCAATCCGACTACTTAATTAATATATCTATTTTGGTACCTCTGATTATTTCTGACTCGATCACAATAAAACATTTGTTTGACAAAAATAATAATTTAAATAAATAAATATATAATAAATCATTTTGTCTAAAAACATACGAAGGCCTTCGAATTTACTTTGTGATCAACCATAATCAATACAAAATAAATACAAGTAGCAATGATGCAAATATTGAAAATATAACCCTCTAACTATTAATTACATAACTACCCAAAGTATCGGTCTAAGGATCCCGAAGAATCCGCCGAATAAATCAAAGTAATTATTAATTAATAAAAGAGTCTATACTTTTCTCATGCTTAAGAGTCAAATGCCATGACGGTGATAGGGAGTAATTGCATACGCCGGCTCTCGCAATATATCTCAACCTAACGCGGATCCAGTTAAAGTCTTAATTAATTATGAGTCCATCCATAATTACCGACTATGAACAATTTATAATTACTATTTATATATCATGTATTGATTGCCATCACATACATATATATAAATATTTCTTGTAATTACATGGACATTATCAATTTCATAGTGAATCGAAACATAATACATTGAATTCACCAATTATATAAATCATAAATATTTCAGATATGTCAAGAACATATCTCACTATAATCCAGATAGGAATTTGCTATGCCAGGGCATATAAATCCCAACAATTTTTATATTTAAATTTCGGTTCTTATCATGTTTGGGACGACTGCTAATGGTATTAGTTTGGAATAGTTCATAACATATTAGATTTTTTGGCTAAAATTCATATCACTAAATTAGTGATATTGTGTGTTTTGATATTGTGGTAGAGGAATTAAAGCAAATTTTTGAATTTCTCAAAATAAATTTTCGTTATCAAACATGGTTCCGATTTCTACCCAAAACACTCCTACAATAAAACGGTTGATTTGATATTGACCAAAAATATAATGCCTAAAACACATCACATGGCAAACAAATCCTAATTATAAATCTTGTCTTGCAAATTTATTTTCATTCTTTTGGTGCAAGGATGAGAAAGAAAATCGAGAATGAGTGAATGAATTAAAATGTGGCTGCACCTGAAATCATTGTAAAATTATGGTAAAAATATTAAACTTAACCTACTGTGCTCCCAATGTCTTATCTTTATAAGAACTACACAAGTAAAAATGCTCGCATTTATCAAAGGGATCCGTGGCGCAATGGTAGCGCGTCTGACTCCAGATCAGAAGGTTGCGTGTTCGATTCACGTCGGGTTCAAACCCCTCTTATATCCTAAACATTTTAAGATTTTTTTACCTTTATACCCTTTGAACGACAATTTTTTTGAAAAAGGATTATTCATACTTTTCAGTCTCTAACACTATTAAAATAATATGAATGGACATTTTTAGCCTCATTTATTTGTTATATTTTAATTTAAAGTATCATAAATCTGAAATGACCGAACTACCCTCATTAATTACTCTGAACTACAACTCTCATTCTCTCTCTAGACAAGTCATCTCCTAACTAACCTTTGCTGTAAGTCATCCCTCTGGAATCAGGACATACCAAAAGGTGCTCAAAACCCAAAATTGCTACCAGAGCCAGTACAATATTCTCTTTACAATCACCTATACTTTTGCTATCATGTTAGGCCCAAAGGTTGATTACTTTGTTGATCCTTCGTTGCTAGCTTAAGGTTGATTGCTTTGTTGATATTTCATTACTAGTTTATTAATATACTTAATCTGTACTTACCAACGGGTCACGCCTAGCGGTATTGGCCTTTTATTTTCCAAAGGGAAGTTAGGAGTTTAAGTCTAAAAAGAAACATGTATGTGTGAATACTAACAAGGAAAAAATATATATAATTAATCTGTACTTGATTATAGTGTTGTGCCTTTATCTACATATTTAGGATGTTTGTAGTCCAAATTCTCAAATTTATCACCAATTATTTTTATTTTCTTTATAATTATGGGATTATGTTTAATGGGTTTTGAAAATTTTCTCTCTTGATGGCTATATATATACATATACTTGGTGGGAGAAGAGAGAGAGAGAGAGAGAAATGGGTTCAATTTTTTGATATTTTGGTCATTTAAAATAGATCTTAGGGGTAGTTAAGCCATTTTAAATATAAAACAACTTCGGTTAAGTCAAATACAGAGTAAAATGGTTAGAAATGTCATTTTACATGTGAAAAGTGGTCTAACATCATTTAAAAGTGACGTTTGAGTAAAAAAGGATCGTTTGTAATGTGAGTAATAGTTATTTTTGAAAGCTGTCTTCGTGTGAGATTTAATCAAACCTCAAGGGTGTTACTTAAATTAATCCTAAATTTAAACAAAACCTATAAAGTATGTGTTAGATACAAAATGCTTTGGTTAAGCATTGACACATTTGACAGCATCAACATATTAGGGGAGTTCCAGTAAACAATATTATATTCTCCAGAAGATGCCATATGCGAATCGCTTTGTTTTTCCATTATACGTAAGAACAAGAAACCGTACAACTTTGTATCACTCCAAAGAAAGCCTATGAATCATTTGCTGTATCCTCATCTACCTCAGGCTTGACAAAGAATTCGATATAAGCAATTCGACTGGGTTGCTGGTAGCCAGCAGAATCGATGTGTGAAACAGATGGTCTTGCGACTGAAACCAGGTGCTGAACTTTCAACATTCCACCTCTCCCGATAGTCAACTTGCTTCCTCGATTATCTTTGATGACGCTGCTAGGCATGTTAGAAGTCACTGCATGGAGGAACTTGTACTTGTACCTGTCCATATCAGGGCAAGAACCGAATCTATGAGCACTGAAAGCAAAACAGTGTTTGGGATGTAATGTGTCAAAAGGTATCAACAGGTACCTGTAGGAGACTTGGCGATCACAATGAAATGCAATCAACAGATCTGTGTTCACATAGTACATGAAGTCTATCTGCAAGAAAGACATGAGTTTGAACCTGTAAAGAGGATCAAAATCCGGAAACAATGCCAGCAAATGCATCCACATAAGCGAAGAAATAAAACTCCACCTGCAAGTCACCGTGGCCTTCACCTCTGAAGGTAACAGAAGGGGGAACTGGTTGTAGAATTATTTGGATGCTCGATCCTGGCCACTCTAGATCATCAATGGCTTCCTTCAAAGCTGCAGACTGGGAATGAATACCATGATTTTGAAGAGGTTAATTGTTCATAATACTATAGAAACAGAAGAATCCAATAATACTCATGGTGGAACTAAACACTGAAATGCCAAACAACTGTTGAAATGGAAAATTGGACCAGGAAAAGTAGATAAAAATCAATTATAAGCATTGTATGATCAAAGTATACGATATGAGGATAAATTTGTGTAGAAGTAGAATTGCTTGCCAATAATATGAATGCATGTCCATTCCTACTACATCCCTACCACCTAGACACAATAGGCCCAAAATGCTGCCCATTGTGATGCCAAAAAGGTTGCTTCCCAATTTCCACATGATGCTGAAGTAGGCTTTGTTATTTTTACTTTCAACTTCCATTGGGCCATTTTTTTTCCTAACCCAGCTACAGTCATTTGGAGGCTTCAGAATCCAAATATATAGATACTCATATTATGAATCTATGTAACCCATGGAGAAGTTTTGTTCACCAAGACCCATACACATCTCATAGGCAGCTACATTTCAAAACCCCACTCATAAACTTCAAAGGGAATCCCAAACTAAATATAAAAAAATAAAATAAAATAAAAATAGGAAGCTAATATTGGCACTCCATAAACTTCCTCTAGCGCTCCAATTCCTTATTTTATTAAATAAAATGGCTAAACTATCCTTTTCTACTCCGGAATTTACCAACAGTGGGACTCTTCTCTTCTATATATTATGTATATAACATGCCCTTTTTGTTGTTTCTTCAACAAACAACATTTTTTTATCCATCTCTTTTGAGTTCTCCTCTTTGATTAAATTTTTCACAAACAAAAACATTTATTACACATATACATGAAACAATTTGGCCGAGAAGCAGTATAAAATATTATAAACTAAAAATTAACACCAATATCAACTATTCATTGTTTAATAACTTCAAAATTAATATTGATTATTGCAAGTTATCGAAATTTTTTATTAATGGCTCAGTTTCAATCAAGATTTGAAACATTGCAACCAATAATAACATTCATCAACACATCAATTAGAGTCATCAAAATTTACTATAACAGATTGACGGAAGAAAATTCATATATATCATGAACTGACTACTTGAATACTAGATACATACGGCTTATGAAAAAAGTATCAACCATTCAAATGATATAATTTGTGGGTTTGTAAATTTACAAGGTCGTGATTTCCAAATATAAAGAATTATTTCATGATTTGTTTTTGACTTTTTTCTTTTATTTTATGCATATTAAATCTTTTAATAGAGGAGTTCTGGTCTCATTGACTTTCTCAATAGAGTTGTAAGATAAAGGAGGACAGAAGTTCATCAAATAGAGTTGTAAGATAAAATGAGAGAAGGTGAATTAACGATTAAAAAAAATAAAATAAAAGGAGAGAAGAGGAGGGAGCATAGTACAAGGAAAGAAGGGCAGTCCAGTCATTTTGTTAATTAAAATAAGGAGTTGGAGCGCTAGAGGAAGTTTATGGAACACCAATATCACCTCCCTAAAAATAACATTGCATATGTCATTCAATGTTCACTTTTATGGTACACCTTGGAGTATAGAGCTTCTATGATAATCTCCAAGGAATTCTTGAACAAGCAACACATTTCAAGAAACTTTCTACTACTTCTGATGAAAAAGCTTATTAACCAGTTTACAAAATATGTCCTTTAACGTCTATGTGATTCATCTTAGCAGTACATTTGTAAAGCACATCACAAGAGGAAATTGACTAAAATTAATTTAGCAAAGTTGGATAACCACCTTTGGAATTAGTGATATGCCAATGCAACTGTTATGACACAAAGATTTATTAGTGGTTCGGCAATAGTCTACGTCCACGGTTGGGATCTGGCAAAAGTTTTCACTAAAATCAGAGATTACAAGTTTCAGTCCCACTCTGTTTCTGTACAAATATCAAAGTCTCTCTATATCCCCCACTCCAAACCCTAAGTGCACTTATATATCGGGCTATGAGAGACTAATTAGGGTCCACGGCCCATGAGCAAAAAACGGGTCAAAAATTTTCCAGCCGACACCAAATTCGAGCCACAACAACTAATCTACCGCAACATTTTATTTGAGATGAAAAAGTTTCTGCACAGGCACAAATAAATAACTACCAACAATATCCCATGTCTTCCTGTAGAACGAAACAGTGAAACCATCAGCTCCAAGGACCTTATCATCTCTCATAACAAAAAGAGTACTTTTTTCACATACGCATTGACTTCTCTGCATAGGCAATCCTAATTATTCATAGTCACTCTTGGTGCATCAGCTTTGATTAGGGTAAACAGTCACTACTCATAGCTTTAGTCCACTCCCCAAGGGCTTCTGAAAATATGGCAACATTTCCTCTTATCTCCTTTGCAGGTGTTAACTTCTTAGTATCATGTACACAAGGAATTCAAATTCTGTGCCTGACTCTTGGTCTATGGTAGAATTACGAAAAAGCTGATTGTTATTATCACCAGCTGCAGCTACAACCCTAGATTTTGTTTCAAAGTGGGCCACAGCTAGAACAACATTAGAGTAACCAGCGAGAACTGCTCTCTAAACCAAAATTTATCATTCGCAGGCCTATGTAAGACCAGCTTTTGCAGCTCATCAAGCCTATCGTTCATTCTCCACACTTCCAAACTAATGTCTCCATTTTTTTGCCTTGTTTAAAGATTCCAAGCCTTGTTCCAGAGCTTTCAACTTAAAAGCAACCTTGTTCATAGGTCAACCCACTACCTCTCAACTTCCTTTTGTTTACTGTCTTACCTTATACAATCGGTCCTAAGCCCGGAAAGAGGAGGACGGTTGCATTAGGTAGCTTAACAATCACCAAAGAACTTCTGTCAAAAACCAATATGAAGATAATATTTCCAAAACAGTTGCCATCCAAAATAGTGACAAGGATTGGGCTCTATGATCAGAAAGACCTAACACAAGCAATCAACTTCAGAAGCATTGCATCCCAAAACCCAATGTTCCCCAACCTGGTTGTTAATCCAAGAGTATTTACAACCTTTGCTCTTTAATTCAGCTAAACCAGTACTCTCCAAAAAAGTTCAAAGCTCAGCAATATCTATAGCAATAACTGCCTCCATGGTGTTAAAATTCCCTAGTAGAATGCTATGCCAGACCAACATACCATAAAGACTAGTCCATGTGCAAAAGAGGCATTAAAACCCAAAGGTTGTCCTTGACAAAAAACAGAGCAAGACCCGACTTTCAATCCTGATAATCATTACATTCAAAACCATCGAATCCTTCTCATATTGGAGAATCTGTAATTATCCAACCTTTTTCCGGTCTCTACGCAAGCCTGAACTCTTATTTCCATTATACCTGATAAACAGATCTTATGCTCAATCAACCTACTTACCTCAATGTACTTCAAGGGGCATTAACTCTCCTTATATTCCAAACTAATGAATTAACCAATGGATAAACAGATTGTAGGAAACCCTACCTTTAAAGTCTTACCATCTCCCAGTGACTCTGCAGAATACCTTAGAATTGACCTTCGGAAGTTCCATTCTTCCACACGCCTCCGCCCTTTTTCTTGCATCCTCAGCGTTGGAGATCATACCCAAATTAACTATTGATTTCTCTTGGGGTTCAAAACATTCAAAGCTTGAACTTTGTATGGACTATACAATGTAACTGTAGAGTGTAGACTCAACAGTAAAATCATCAGCAGAGCCAGCATCTTCTACCTTCTGGGTAGCAATGCAAGAATCTGTAATCACTTCCAGAGATACCCCAAAGCGACCTTTTCCAGTCTCACACTGAATTATTAACAGCCTCTGAAGGAATGACAATTTGGTATGTCAAATTTTATGGGATTTCCAGCAAAAGGTGTAGCACAACGATCTTGTGGACTTTCTAAAGCCAGTGATGCCAAAGGCTCCTTGACTTTATTTTTCCTGGATATCAATATATCACCTTCCAGTTGGACTAGGGAACATTCTTGCTATGATGTGCCCAAACAAGAAACACTAATCATAGGCAATTGCCTTCTATGTGCAATTCTGTGGCTGAAAACAATGCCATTAGGTAATTGGATTTGAACAGATTCTAGCAACTTCTATCTAGCCTCAACCTCAACACGCTAACTATACATATGATTTATTTAAGAATAACAAGTAATATGAAATGGATTGCTTGGCTAAACATGAACCATGAAAGTAATGGTCATTTGAGTAAATTTACATAATTGGACAAAGGATAATCAATACCAACAAAAAGATTACCACAAAAGATTAACCAAGTTGAGTGAGAAACGAATTAAACAGTATTGACTATTGAGTCAACTTCAAGACTAAAGAAGATACAAACAAATGATCAATAACTTCAAGTTTCCTAATTGAAATGAGATGAACTCAACTCTACTTGCCAAAGACATATATCTGAACTAACAAGGGTTGGCCACAGAAATCCTTTTCTATCATTATTTTCTTTCCAGGATGAGTACATATGTAGTGAAAATAGAAATAATATAAGTACTGATACACTCTAATCTCTAATACATTAAAAATAAATCATAGACCCAAGTTGTATTGTCACAACAACAGTTATGAAGAGTTATTTTCTGTTAGAATATTAATTATGCAGGGGTCAACAATATAAATGTTGTTCAAAAAGAAAAGAATTACCTTAACAGTAAAGCTAAGTGGAGTGCTTCCTGCAGGTTCAAAGTTGTAATCCCATGAAATGACATCTGGGATCCTTGTTCTGATCTCCGCATAAATGCAAGCATCCAGCGAATCAACGGATCTAACAAATTTGCAGAAGTTTCCAAATTAAAATGACTAGGTGTCAATGTCAAATGTCAAATGTCAAATGTATGAAGCATTGAGGCTACTGAAAATTAGGGAGTGGTTTCCCTTTCCCCAACATTCAAATCAAAATGAATCCCCACAAATTTTCCAATCTTGACCCTTGTCTAACTACAAATGTGAAATGCTACAAAAAGACGAGGCTTCAAGGAACCTTCAGCAACTCAATTGTGCAACTTCTCCAAAACTGAATGGCGAGGATTGCGTTCAGCACTCCGAGAAACTGAGTGTGTTAAATAATGTAAGTCTTCTTTTCTTTCTTTTTTTTAATAACAGAAGTGTTCCTCATCCTTCTTGTTGTTCACTGCAGACGGCTTAAGGTCACTGATATTTAGGAAGAAAAAAAAAAGTTACCTGGAAGTCTACACTTTTTTTTTTTTGGATAAGTTTCCAGAAGTCTATACATACTTTTGCATTGAAATTAACTACATGGCTACTGCACATAACATTTAGAGAATGAAATATATTATATTGAAGATGTTATTACAAACCATCCATTAGCATCGCACACCCTTTGGGTACTCAGAATAAAAGAGTTTAGAGAATTTCTAATGAGAAAATCAATTTTTTTTATTCATAGAAACCTCAACCTCCCAACAGGCAGATGGAGAAGAAACTTCTCACCCTAAGGCACTGGTGCGACCACAAAGAAAAATAATATAAAATTGAAAGCACAATCAATTAGTGTGAGAAATGGAATCAACATATGCACTTTAGTGTAAATTTGTGAAATTCAATGCACAAAATTTCAAACAGAATTCCTAAACAAATAGAGAGAAGAAAGCAAATGAAAACTTACTTGAGAAGAAGCTGCATGTCAGGCCCTGGATATCGAATTTCAATCGTGTTAGAATGTCCAGGAGCAGAAAACGTGTTCAGGCAATCAACCAAAAGGCCCAAGCTCATTCCAAATCGCGGCCTCCCTTGCGCGCTATAATCATAATGTATGAAAAGCTGCAAATAAACTTCAAACTTCAATAACAAAAAATAACATTTTCCATTATCCTCCATTCTGTTGTCAAGAAACAAAATTTAAAATTGGACTTATAAATTTTAATGCTTCCCCAATAAAGAAAATTTTGATATATTTTTTTTCTCTCCCCAAAAACTTTTTTTTTTTTTTTTGATTAGTTTTCTCTCCCCAAAAACTTTCTCAGCAATCAAACAAGGAATCTAACAGTGAAATGAATACCTCACGTTGTAGATATACTTTGGCTTGAAGACAACCTGTTTCCTCAAGAATCACCACGATTCCATGCTCCGACAATTCCACAACTGCATCCTAATGGTACAAATCGCAGTGAAGAACAATCAGAGAAATTGTATAAACCCTAGACTTTATTCAGTATAATCAAAACCCTAGCGCTCTGTTCCACTGTTTGCTTCTTAGTAAACAATTAGGAAAAAAAGGGAACAAAAGAGAAAATTCTCAATATTGCATTTATTTACCCTCTAAAAGCATTCCATTTTCTCTCACTGAACAGAACATGTTATGTAGAGAGAGAAACAAACGATTGCAAGGAGCGAGCCTACCTGATGGCGCTTCCATCGGACGGAGCTGAGGGCATCGACCATGCCTTGGACGTTGTCCAGCTGACACACTAGATCAGGAGCCTCTGGCTCCACCGCCGACGAGCTCATCCTCTTTCCCGCCAAAAAGCCACTGTAAAACTTGAGGGTATATGATGTTCCGCACACGGATCGGGTTCAAACCGTGATCTGGTCCAAACCAATTCCATCCATGTGTGAATTGGTTCGGTTACCTATTGAATTTTATCTAAATCAGTTAAAATGATATATTTGGAATTACTTGGCATGAAATTGAAGTTTGTAAAATTTTAGTTCAAATTTTCATCTAATTTTTTTTTTTAATTCTAAATTTAAATTGTGAATTTAATACTTCCAAACACTAGATCAATTTGATTTAGAAATTATGAGAAAATCTCAATCCTCATCCTAGTTGGCATGCATTTAAACATACACATTGGGCAATTGGTTCACTATGTTATTAAGAAAATTCTAATATATCGTTGATCCAATCCAATCCCATACATATTGAAATGATTAAGGTATTGTTGTTAATGAGTTGATTTTTAAGTAATTTCTTTTGTTATAGGAAAAATACTAAAGGTTCTTGCAAGGCATTTGATTTGGGCTAATCATTTTAATAAATCTCAAGTTTGGTTCAAATGTGATTCAAATGGTTTTGGATATTAAGAGTATCTGGTATGAAGCATTGGGAGAATATTGTAGTAAGAAAATTATCATAGTGAAAGGCTCGTCCCACAGTGACTCCTACACAACTTGAATGTGAAAGCATGACAGCTCCTGCCCAACTTTTTAAGTAACTTGAAACAAATCTCGAATCATATAGGAAGCATTTGTGACCTCTAAAAAAAAATCAATTTGTGTGCAATCTTCTTCCTCCCCCAAAAGATGAAGACCACAAGAGTAGTAAGCCCCGTTTGGTTAGCCTCAATGTGCTTTAGCAAATAGTCTACAAAAGGGTTCCATACGTCTCAACCAATGACTCTACCTACTCGAAGGTCCTTCTTTACGAGGCTGCATCTCTACATAAGATGGCTCGGGTTAGAGGAACATACTCCCATTCTTTACCAGGTTGCATCTCTACATGAAATTAAAGTTTGTAAAATATTCGTATTTAGTTGATGTGGGACGAAATAGAACTATTAGTGTTTTTTTGGTTAAAAAAAAACAAAAAAACAAAACAAAATAGAACTACTAGTTTTAGTACTCTTCTTTTAAGCAAATACAACGCACAGTTAGAGTAACACTTAACAGATTGGGAACTTGAAGTGGCTGTCATTGAATTGGACAAAACAAACATGTGCATATGTGCACTTGCATATACATAAATCTCACGGATTTGTGAGGGATTGAACACGCATTACCCACTTGGGTGGTCGAAGCTTTGTACTCCAAAGGTTATTGGTGGTTTGGGCTTTAAAAATTTACAAGCATTTAATCTTCCATTACTGTCCAAATTAGCCTAAAGAATGGAAAGTTCTGATGCTTCTTTACTGTTTCATTTTCTTAAAAGTAAGTATTATCTATCCTATTCCTTTCTTAATTCTTATTGCCGCAAGTTAGCTTCTTGGGCGTGGAAGGGAATTTGTGCTGCAAAAACTCTTGTGAGTAGATCATGGAAGTGGAGAATGGTGGATGGAAATAAAATTAATTGTTGGAAGGATCCTTGGCTGCCTGATCCAAATAATTTTTTTGTGACATCCCCCAATCATGGATCCTATTCAATTTCTAAACTTGCAAACCTTATGAATCATGATCTAAAGCAATGGAAGAAAGATTTAGTTGTCAGAATTTTCAACAAAAGAGATGCAACTCTTGTCCTATAAATCCCCGTTAGAGAGTACGATGGTGAAGATGTCAAAATTTGGGGTTTATCACGAAACGGGATGTTTAGTGTTCAAAGAGCTTATAAGGCAGTCATTAATTATGATCTTCAACCTTTTAAATCTTTAGGACGTCCATGTCACAACATTGACCAAAAGTTTCTCCCCAAATGAAAGGAAATTTGGAAAATTAAAACTAAGAGAAAGATTCAATTTTTCATTTGGCAAAGTTGTATGGATCACTTACCGGTCATGCTGAATCTCAAAAATATCATGTAGTGCCTGAAGCTATTTGTAAAGTTTGTGGGATGGAAGATGAATCAACTCTTCATATGTTTTGTGAATGCCCTATTGGTCTAGCTGCTTGTAAATATAGTCCATTGTGTCTGGACTTCAGTAGTGAGGCTTCTAACTCTTGGGAGGCGGTATGGTGCAAATTATCAGATCGGTGGAAGAAATCTGAATTTTTTGACCAACTTATAAGCCTGGGTTCATTCATTCATGCATTGGCAGATATAGAAGGCAAGAAATGACTTTTGTTTTAATGGTATAAAATGGAATCCAATTAACATTGTGGAACGAGCTTTTGTTTAATTTTAATGAGTTTTGGGCTTTCCTTGATAAAGGTATTCCTTCTACGATTTCTTCTTCTCGGTTGGCTTCTCCCCCTCACTGGTTCCTCCAACTGAGAGTCGAGTTAAGCTCAATATTGATATAGCCTTTAGATTTATTTCCAAAGAAGCTATCGATGGTCTTATTTTGAGAAATTCTAATGGTAATCCAATTAGAATTACATCTATTTTTACTCCTCATGTGGCCAGTTCAGAGGTTGCTCAGGCGGGTTCTCCGCGAAGGAATAAAGATGCTAATCCAATGGAGATATGACAAGGTAGATATATAATGTGATTGCTTATCCATCTTTACTTCCAATCCAGGTAGATATATAATGTGATTGCTTATCTATCTTTACTTTCAATTCACAAACCCCTTCTCATTTCCTTTAATGGAAGATATCCAGTTCATGTTGAAGGCAAATTCTCATTTTCGATCTGGTTGGACGCTGAGAGAAAATAATTCGGTTGCTCACATTATTAGTGATTTGGCAATGGCCTCTCAATTTGGTGATGTAAGTTCCCAGGTGCCGAAGGCTATGGATACTTTGGATCATGCTGCTTAGTGGTTTGGTTTTGTTTTCCTTTTTCTTTTTCTTTGTTTGTGTTTTTTGTTTGTAGGACAAAAAATAATAATAATAAAAATAAAAATAAAAAACACACATGAAGAAGAAGAATACACCTTACCCACAATAGAACCACCACACTGCATTTTTTATTTTTGCATTTTATACTTTTAATTTTTGAAATTTATGAAGATGCCTCCACTAAAATTATAATTTATCACACTAAAATTTGTTTTTGCATTTTATGCTTCAAAATTTTGAGAATTTATGAAGATGCCCCAACTGAAATTTTGCTTTTGCATTATATATTTCAAAATTTTGAGAATTTATGAAGATGACCCAACTGAAATTACAAAAATAGACCCACTATATAAGTTTGCCCTCACAAATTAAAAAACCGTCCCCCTCACAAAAAAATTTGGGTTCGTCACTGTCCATAGTAAGTGAGGAATTTTGAATTCTTTTTTCCCCGAATTTTGATTGAAAATCACATTTTTCACTCGAAAATTATTGGATCATGATCTGGTCCAAATATGATATAAAATATCTCCAATCCAATCGGATCTGATATAAAAATTAGATGGGTTATTCTATTCCTATATAGTTTTGCAATATTATTTGGTATCCAATCCAATAACTAATTTTTTGGTGTAATTTTTGTTAAAATTTTAAAATACAAATTAGAAAGAGTGAGTGAGAGAGAGAGAGAGAAGACCAAAAAAATATGAACAAAACCGGGGAAGAAAAATTAGATATTTGATCCTTAGTTAACTGGGAAAAAAAATAATAAAGAGTGAAGAAACCAATAGAGGGAAATAAAGGTTAAAAAATGAAGAAAAACTTAACACCACTATATAAAGTCTGTAAACAACAATTTTGATTAATTTTTCAACAAATGCACACCAATTAAATGATAGATAATATATGTATAACATAATATGTATTATATTTGGTTGAATTCGATTAACCATAACATATGCTCTATTTAATAATTCAGTGAATTATCGAAATTGGATCATCAACAAATTATTGAAATAAATATTTAATATTCACAAGTAGCCTAAAAAATCTTAAATACTATACTTATTCATGATCATTGAATTGAGTTGTCTATAAATTAATTTCCAGAATAGATACAATATAATTGACGTTTTAACTTTAGAACAAAAAGCGCATCTGGTGTAGTGGTATCATAGTACCCTCCCACGGTACTGACCAGGGTTCGATTCCCTGGATGCGCATTTATATATTAATTAGATAATTTTTTTTTTTTTTTTTTTTTTTTTTTCAAGTCTTCCGTAGCGGAGCACCGTGCACTTAAAAGAAAATCGTCCTTTATTAGTAAATAGTAATTTAGTGTTTTGTGCATTTAGTAGTAATAATAATAAAATTTTGCATTATGTAAACTTATGGTGATCCTGTTTAGTGTTTCTCAAAAACATTCAACACACTAATTTAAAGTCAACAATTCTGATGATAAGGACCATTTTATCTCATCGAAGTCAAGTATTATAATCATATACATGAAATATCTAATTTTTATTACCAACTACAAACAATGTCAAGTTACAAAAAATTTGTGAACTAAAATCCGCCCACATATAAATCTCAATTATATATGTAAGTCACCTATGGTGTAATGGACTATAATATTATTTATGCAAGTATGATGTACATCACCTTCCAAAATAAAAAGTCGTGAGTTTAAGTTTCAACCGAAAAAAATAAGTTTAGAAGTTTCTTACCAAGATAAAGTGTATATGTATAATTAATAATTGTGGGGGTTCTTTAATACAAATGAATCATACAAGTAAAAGAGGGTGATATCGAAAAACAAAGTATGATGAATTATGAACAAAAGCCTAAATACATTGAAGCTAAAAGCTAATTTTTTATTTATTTATTTTTCCCTCATCCTTGTGCATGGAGGTCTATATTTATAGTCTCGGCCATGAGCTTGTTTTCTCAAGAGGGGAAACTTGGGGTGTCCCACTCTAGTAGAGTAGTTATCATGACCTTGTTAGACCTGATGGGGCTAATTAGGTCTTTTAGTTCGAGGGTAAGTACTGGTATATTGGATGGACATCTCTTTACAAAGCGGCGGTAGTTGAGGATCATAAATGTGATTATCAGTACCCCAATTGAAGGCACACGACCTCCTTATCATATATTTGGCTACGCCAATAGAGTAGGAGGCATTCTTTTCAGCCCATGACCCGTATTTTTGTGTGAGTAAGAAAGACGCTCGAGGCTGACTTGGGTGGACTCTAGGTAAATATTGTAAAAAGGCTTGAGCTTGGAATGATGGGGGTGTGGATCACATCCCCTACAATAATAAATCACTTTTATTAATCAATGTTGAATTTTAAAACATAAATAATTGACTTTGAAGAAATATAACCCCAACTAAATCTCACACGTCCATTGTGTATCAATTGACATTTTCAAATTCCTTTCTTGGAAAGTAGAAAAATATACAATTCAAGTTCATCTTTGTGGCAAGATGTTCGTAGTTTCAACACAATGTAAATTACAAGGTTGGTCCCGATAATATGAAGGAGTAATAAGGGTATATCAGACAGTTCACAATCTCCTGTCGTTTACCCGAGTAAAGCAACCGGGTCGTGCCCGTATCTTCCGTCTCTTATCCGCTTATGAACCCCACTTTGACTAACGGGTGACCGTACAACCACCTCTCTTTCTCTCTCTAAACGCCGTTTTCTCTCTTTATAATTGTTTCTCTCTCAAAGACAAAATCCCTCTCTAAAATCTAGGGTTTTTATTTGGATCAGTTACAGACATTCTAAACCCCACAGAACCCTAAAAAATCTCCATTATCGAATAAAAAAAATTCAGACCTCTTCCGATCGATGCTGGTCTTCGCCGCTGCCGTTGATTGATCTCTTCCGGCGGCATGGACAAAGTTAACGGCGGCGGGCCGCCTCCTCCGGTTCCGGCTCCGATGCCGATTCCGAACGCAAATACTCCGCCGCCGTTCCTCATGAAGACCTACGACATGGTGGACGACCCAGCCACCGATAAGATCGTCTCGTGGAGCTCAACCAACAACAGCTTCGTGGTTTGGGACCCTCCTCAGTTCGCTAAAGAGCTCTTGCCTAAGTGCTTCAAGCACAACAACTTCGCGAGCTTTGTGCGGCAATTGAACACTTACGTATGAATTTCTTTCTGTATTGTTTAATTCTTGGAGTTGTTTTACTTATTTTATCGTGATAATGTTGTTGGAATTTGCGAATTTGGAGTTTGATAATTATGTGATTGTAGTGGAATTCGTAATTAGGTCTAGAATGCAGTTTTCTGTATAGAAAGTAAACAAATGTTTGGTTATCAAGAAAAGGCAGTAAAGAGAAGGAAAGTGAAATTTTGAATCATAGGGTTTTTATTTATTGGAAGGGGAAAAAAGGAACCCTACTCAACTAAGCATAACCCGGGTTTTGTGCTCAAGTGAGTTTGGGTTTTACTTTTTTTGTTCATAAAACAAAAAGAATGTAAATTAAATGATTTGATGTATTATTGTTCTTGGGTTTGTGGCAACTAATATGCGGAGTAGAAAGACTATATCTGAATAAAAGCAGGGGTAAGATAAAACGTTACTGGAAAATAAGATTTTACTTTCTTGTGTTGTTATTGTAATTTAAAATTCATCATAGGGAAGACATAAGCACCCAACTTTGCCGGAGGGAGTAAGGGGAAGCAAATGGTGTCAGAAATTGTGGATTGGAAATGCACTCTTTGATTGATTCTTGGAATAGTTGGAAGAAGAGAGAGTTTTAGCTAGTATTATTATTTTTTTTAATTTTTTTTTTTTCTATAGAGAGAACTTTATCATCCTATTTAGTTTAAGTGTACATTGAGTATATTATCAAAATGTTTATGTAATTTTTGTGTTATCACGGACTTGATGGTAGTGACTCTTGATATATTTAAAGGGGCTATTCCTAGTTTCAATTTTTTTGGGCATAGGTTGAGCTGTTTATGTTGATCATTTGTTCATTTTTTGAGATCATTCTTGATTTTATTTTATTTTTTGATAAGTTCATTCTTGATTTTATATTAATTCTAATGCCATAACAAACAATATGAAGTTCAAAGATTGTTTGAAGGTGAAATGCCCTTTCTCCTTTTGTATTGAAAGACATAAATAAATGTTTGTGGTGCAGGGCAGTAGCGATAAGCTGCTGTCCGGCAGCTGTAACAGTGTAAAACAACCAAAGAAAAGGATTTCCAGCAATAAACAAGCAGAAAAACAGAGAGACAAAGCAATAGATTCGAAGTTGGAACGTAGATAGATGAGTTCTAGGGCAAAGAGACCCGAGAGAAACTCTAAATCTAATTTTCATACAAAGTCTCTTGATAGACTATTTATACTAGGGTTACAGCAGCCCAGCATCCTAGCCCTTGATTACTTCAATAACTAATAAATCTTAACCCTCCAAAGTACTTAAAAACTCACATGACAGTCACATGACTATTTAAAATGATTAGGACTATAACTATCATCTACCAAATAACATAAAACATAAAAATCAAATAAGACACATAGAAAATAAGTAAATAACTAAAACCCCAAGATAAATAGAACCCAAGCCTAGTTGGCTAGGGGGCCCGATTAGTCTTGGAGAGCCTCGTAGAAGCTCTTGCATCAACTCCTCTCGGTTGGGAAAAACTCGACTCCGGCGAGAAAGCCTCCACAACTTCAGCATATATTTGTGGATTAATTCTTTTCAGCTCTTCTTCAGCAATCCATGTATTGTCACTAGCAGGTTTACCCAACCATTTCACTAGAAACTGCCTATATTGGTTGCCCCTCCTTGATTTCACCTCTTTAACATCCAATACATCTTCGACAACATCTGGTTTCACCTTTGGAAGGTACTTGAGTTGTGCCTCTGTTGAAACTGGTTCCCCATCAAATCTTTTAAACAAATACAGATCAGACACGTTGAAGATTGGGCTTATTTGGAGGTCAGATGGCAGCTCTACCATGTACGCATTTGAGCTAATTTTCTTCAGCACCTTGCATGGCCCAAACTTTTTTGCCTTCAGTTCATGATAAGTGCCTTTTGGGAATCTGTCTCGCCTCAAATGCACCAAAACTATGTCACCCTCGTCAAAATTTTTGACTTTCCGGTGTTGATTGGCTGTTGATGCATAGGATTCATTACTAGCCGTGATCGCTGCCTTTACTTCTTCGGGCACTTTTTTGATGTGATTTGCAAATGCCTCTCCATCATCACTCACTTTTACCTCTTGTGGTAGCGGAACTAGATCAAGAACATGCTGAGGTTTTAGTCCATAAGCAGCTTCAAAAGGTGTCTTCTTTGTAGATCTATTCACGGAATTATTGTAAGCAAATTCAGCTTGCAGAATAATTAAATAGCATGCCTTCACATTGCTTCCAAGAAGGCATCTCAGCATATTACCCAAACTCCGATTTACTACTTCTGTCTGACCATGTATCTGACAATGGCATGTGCTAGAGTATTTAAATTCAGTCTCAAACTTTCTCCATACAGTCCTCCAAAAGTGTCCCATGAACTTGACATCTCTATCAGAAACAATAGAAGTTGGCATGCCATGTAGTCTCACCACTTCTTTGAAAAATAACTCAGCTACATGTGTGGCATCTGCAGTTCTAGAATATGGAATGAAATGTGCGCCATTTTGGAGAAACGTTCCATCACAACAAAAATACTATCATGGCCCCTTGCCGTCTTTTGAAGTCCCAACACAAAATCCATGCTAATATGAACCCAAGGAGCTTCTGCCACTGGTAAGGGTGTGTATAAACCTGTGTTTTGTGAACTTCCCTTCCCAAACTGACAAACATGACACCTCCGAACCAGCCTATTCACATCCTTTACATTCCCGGCCAATAATAACGATCAGCCACCATTGCCATTGTCTTATCCCTACCAAAATGTTCTCCTAACCCATTTCCATGAAGTTCTCTAATAATTTGTTCACGTGAAGATCCCTCTGGAATGCACAGCAAGTTTCCTTTAAATAAATACCCATCATGCATTCTAAATGGCAGCATCTTCCAATCTGCAGGGCCTTGAAGTTCAGCAACTACAGAGCTAAAATATTTATCTGCAACATACTGATTTTTCAACTCCTCAAACCCAATAACTTAAGTACTCATCACCGTCAACAATAGATTCCTCCGACTCAAAGCATCTGCAATTTTATTAGACTCGCTAGTTTTGTACTTGAGGCAAAAATTGAATTTTTGAAGGTATGAATTCCATTTGACATGTCGAGCATTCAACTTCTTTTGAGAATTCAAGTACCTCCAGGCTTGATGATCTGAATAAACCACAAATTCTTTTTAGGCTAGGTAGTGTTCCCAATGTTGGATTGCACGAACCAAAGCATAAAATTCCAAATCATAGGTGGAATAACAACATTTAACACCTGACAACTTCTCACTAAAAAATTCCACCTGCCTTTCTTCTTGATTCAAAACAGTCCCTATTCCTGCATGCGATGCATCACACTAATAGTGAATAGCTTCTCAAAATCTGGTAGCGTGAGTACTGGAGCTTCTGTCATCAATCTTTTTATTTGTTCAAAGGCTCATTGTGCTGATTTTGGCCACTCAAAAACATTTGTTTTCAAGTATTCAGTGATCGGACTCATAATGGAGTTGAAATTGCGAATGAACCTCCTGTAGAATGAAAACAATCCATCGAAACTGCAAACGTCACCAACAGATTGTGGTACTGGCCACTCTGTAATAGCTCGTACTTTTTCAGAATCAGCTTGCAAACCATCGGCTGAAACAATAAAGCCAAGAAACACAACTTTGTCAAACAGAAAAGAGCACTTTTTCAAGTTTACATAAAGCTTCTCCTTACGGAGAACCTCCATGACTTGGTGCAAATGGACTAAATGTTCTTTACTTGTATGACTATATATTAATTGTCATCAAAATAAACAACCACAAATGAGCCCAAGAAAGGTTTGAGTACCTCGGTCATAACTCGCATAAATGTGCTAGGAGCATTGGATAGTCCGAATGGCATCACTAACAACTCGTAAAGTCCATTCGGAGTTTTGAAGGCTGTCTTCCATTCATCACCACTCCTCCTATGAATCTGATGATGCTCGCTTCTCAAGTCTATTTTGGAGAACACCTTGGCCCCCACTAACATATCAAGCATATCCTCTAATCGAGGGATGGGAAACCGGTATTTTACTGTAATTTTGTTGATGGCACGACTGTCCACACACATCCTCCATGATCCATCATTTTTTGGTGGTAGCAATGCTGGAACAACGCAAGGACTCTTGCTCTCACGCACAAAACCCTTAACAATCAAGTCTTCCACTTGCCTTTGAATTGCAACTTGTTGTGTGGGTGGCATCCTATAAGCAGGAAGGTTTGGTAAAGCTGCACCAGGCACCAAATCAATAGCATGTTGAATACTCCTCATTGGTGGCAAACCTTGTGGTAAATCATCACCAACCAGCTCTTGGAACTCCATTAGTATATGCTGAATTTCAATTGGACACTCGTCAAATTTTAAAGGCTGTTCCTCTTGTACTTTCTTAGCAACAAGCACATACACAACTCTCATTTCCTTGCTCTCAAGTTCAAACTTGTGGGCTGCCAAAAACCCATTAACTTTGGCAGCTTTAGGAGTGGCGGTGATTTCTTCTTTAAGTGGCTGCAACGTCAACTTTTTCCCATCTTTATGAAACGAGTAGGTATTGGCTCTAGTATAATGGGTCATGTCTTTGTCAAACACCCATGGCCTTCCTAATAAGATATGACAGGCATCCATGCGTACAACGTCACACCAAGCTTCATCATTAACTATATTACCCATAGTGAATTTAACCAAACACCGTGAAGTGACCGGCACCTCATTACCTTTTCGGAACCATGCAACCTTGTAGGGATTAGGATGCTTCTCAGTTTGTAACTTGAGTTTGTCTACCGCCTCCTGCGAAATAATGTTCTCACTGCTACCTCCATCAATAATGACATTACACACCTTTCCACCACAAAGGACTCGTGTTCGGAATATATTGTGTCGTCTTCAGTCTTCTTCCTCGACTTTGGGTGTTTTCATCACTCGTCTGAGTCGTCTCACCACCAAAGACTCTCCTTTTACCGGGAAAAGATCAATAACTTCCTCTCCATTATACTCATCATATACTGGTTCATGTAATTCTGTTTCTTCAACTTCAAGCTCTGCTAAATTCACCCTTCGTTGTGGACAAGTGTAAGACGTGTGCCCCTTCTCTCCACAAGTGAAACAACGAACTTGTGTAGTGCTGCCACCCTTTGAAGTTGAATTGCTAACGAACTTGTGTAGTGCTGCCACCCTTTGAATTGCTTACACCAGCACTGTTTTGTGGTCCAAATCTTACTATTTTCTTCCCCTTTTCACTCCTATCAGCACCCCCAATGTTCCTACCTCCTGTTTGGGCACTTGGAATAGCACCTTGAGCAATTCGAACACCTCCAACAGCAGCTGTACCCCTCTGCCAAACAGCACCTGGATGACCAGAAACAACTCTTCCGCCGTCACGATGCAACACTCTTTTTTTTCCGCCATTAAGGCATATTGTCGAGCATCTTATAGGTTGAACAAATGGACCACCCCCATCTCATCTCTAATGGACTGATGCAAACCAGAAAGATAAACGAGATGTCAATTGTTCATTATTCTCGTTTAAACCTACTCGAATCGAGAGATTATTAAACTGAGATGTATATTCTTCAACAGACATGTCTAATTGCTTCAAACTATGAAACCTTTCGTATAACTCCAATGAATAATCAGCAGGCAGAAATTGCTTTCGCAATTTTTATTTCATATGTTCCCATGTGTTGATTTTGTGCTTCCCTTGTGGAGCACACTGTTCTTTAACGCTCTTCCACCATGTGCAGTACTATTCAACTTAAGCTTTACAAACACCACCTTCCTATCTTCAGCCATAGGCTTCCACTCAAAGTAATTCTCCAAGCTTGCCTCCCAATCTAAATAATCTTCGGCGTGCATCTTTCCATAGAAGTCAGCAACTTCAATTTTAATTCCTCCACCATTCAAATCCAACGCACGAATCAACCGCTCTTCCAATCTGCCATGATCCAGATTTTCTCAGATTTCTAGCATCATAAAAGGGGTTTTCCTCATCTTCCTCAAAATATTCATCCTCAAGACTACCTTCCGGTACGTCCAAGGGGCTGCGGTTGCCTTCTGGAATCTCCATACGGGCTTCCGTACGTTCCTGTCGTTGAAGAGCTTGCTGCTCTTGGCAGATCTTCAATCATACACCGCATCTCAGTCTTCTCTGTTTGTTGAGCTTGGTTTCCTCTTCCACGACCTCTACCATGTCCAACCATGGTGCAGACCTAGGGGTTTTTTTTCCGGCTCTGATACCAATCTGGTGCAGGGCAGTAGCGATAAACAAGCAGAAAAACAGAGAGATAAAGCAATAGAATCGAAGTTGAAACGTAGATAGATGAGTTATAGGGCAAAGAGACCGAGAGAAACTCTAAATTTAATTTTCTGGAATCAAAACTGCATACAAAGTTTCTTAATAGACTATTTATACTAGGATTACAGAAGCCCTAGCATCCTAGCCTTTTTTTTCTCTTTTTTTCTAGTTGGTACTCACACACATGTGCCTCCACTGAGGCTTGAACCCCTGACCTCCCTTTGGAAAGTAGGGGCGTGATACACCTTTAGGCCACTGGCCTGTTGGTGCATCCTAGCCCTTGATTATTTCAATAACTAATAAATCTTAACCCTCCAAAGTACTTAAAAACTCACATGACAGTCACATGACTATTTAAAAAGACTAGGACTACAACTATCATCTACCAAATAACATAAAACATAAAAATCAAATAAGACACTTAGAAAATAAGCAAATAACTAAAACCCCAAGATAAATAGAACCCAAACCTAGTTGGCTAGGGGGCCTGATTAGTCTTGGAGAGACTCGTAGATGCTCCTGCATCAGTTTGTAATAGGTTTGGCCTAAGATCTTAGATAATTAGCTGACTGAATTCCTTAGGATTAGATTTATTGGGTTGAGCTGCCATTGAGACACTCCTTAGGATTAGATTTGCAATTCAGTGGGCTTCAAATGTGCCCCTTACATGGTCTGTATTGGTGGAGCTAAATCTATCAACTGAAACGTGATTATCATTTGTCATCGTCATCTTTTGTATTTCTTACCGAATCATCTTTGATATATCTCATATTTTTGTTACCTTTTCAATGCAGACCTGCTTGCTCTTGGTGATATTGGGCATAGTGCTTCTCATTGTGCGATCTCTTTGGTTTTGAGTTTGATTTTTAATGCATCAAGGTTTACTGGACTGAAGCACCGAGTGATGTTATGAAATTAGGATATGGTTACAATATTAAGTTACAATAGTTTGAACACAAACGCCTATCCCATACATTAAAAACAACTTAATATTGTAACCATATCATAATTTCATAACTCGGTGGCTCAGTCTGGTAAACCTTGATGTATCAAAAATCAACTCAAACCAAAGAGATCACATCTTTACCTCCGAGCACATTCTGTGTTCTCTCTATAGGTAAAAGTGAAGAATTTGCTGATTAAGCCACTAGTACTATGATCACAATGAGAAGCACTATGCCAAATATCACCAAGAGCAAGAAGGTCTGCATCGAAGATGAAAAGATAAAAAAAATGTGAGATGTATCAAAGATGATTCGGTAAGAAATACAAAATTTGAAGATGACAAAAGATAATAACGTTTCAGTTGATAGATTTAGCTCCACTAATACAAACCACTTAAGGGGCACGTTTGAAGCCTACAGAATTATAAATCTAATCCAAAGGAGTGTCTCAGCTCAACCCAATAAATCTAATCGTAAGGAATTCAGTAAGCTAATTATCTAAGATCATAAGCCAAAACTATTACAAACACTGGCTTATGATCTTAGATAATTGTTTGTCAAATTTTGGGGTTGACTATGTGGTTCACGTCACTCCCCTTGTTATACTTGATTGGGCTGATGATGCAATTAAAATTTTAGATTAATCAAAGACTAAGTGAGTAGATATTTAGTAGAAATAAAATTACAGTAAGCATTGATGACCTGACCATGAGATACAACATCACAAATGCTAGCTGTTAACAATAAAAAAGGGAGGATTGAGAAAGAGGTTTCCTAAGAAGTGCGTGAAGGATTTCGGATAAGTGCATCTAGAGTGTCTATGTGATTTTGTATTCCTCTCATGTTTAAGGAAAAGTTTCAAGTGGAAAGTTCCATAATTGATTTTAAGACTAGCTATGCTTTATGGAACATAAAGTTAGGTGATTAAACAGATAAAATGGCTGGAAACTATACTAATGAAAAAATAAATAAAAATTGTGAAGCATAGCTTTTATTTTCTTCTTGTCTTCACTCGATGATTCTACATTTTCCATCTTAGCCGGTACCTCTTTATTCCTTGGGTTATACTATCAATGATGTTTTATTGTATCCTATTATGCACTTCACTTGGAGTTGCCATCTGAGCACTTCCTGGTCTTAGGACACCAATTTTAGATACTTGCATGGTTTGTGTAACCAGTCAAGTGCTAGATATCTGATATTGAAAATTGTACCTTCCTGGTCTAAACATCAATAATAGAATCTTCTCTGCAATAAAGTTCAGGTGTGTGTGTGTGTGTATATATATCTTTTTTCTACCGAAAATATCCTGTTCCTTTTTTGTTAAATAAAGGTTTAGGCATTCATAAATTGCATGGATCGAATTCTCCTCCTCTTCCTCTTTTTTTCAATTCATGTTTTCCCTTGTGTCACTATGTGGGATAGGCCTCTGTTGATTCTGCTGATTAAAAATCGTGTTTCTACTTATTAACGGCATCTCCCTTTTCTTTTTGGACCATTGTGGACAAACAGGGTTTCAGGAAGGTTGATCCAGACCGCTGGGAGTTTGCAAATGAGGGATTCCTTAGAGGTCAAAAGCACCTGCTTGGGAGCATAAATCGGCGGAAACCTGGCCAGGGAGTACCACAGCAACCACATGGACAGAGTTCGTCAGTGGGGGCATGTGTTGAGGTGGGGAAATTTGGGCTTGAGGAAGAGATTGGGAGGCTAAAAAGGGACAAAAATGTGCTTATGCAGGAGCTGGTGAGGCTGAGGCAGCAGCAACAGGCCACCGATAATCAGTTGCAAACCATGGTGAAGCGCCTTCAAGGGATGGAGCAGCGGCAACAACAGATGATGTCATTCCTGGCAAAGGCCGTCCATAGCCCTGGCTTCTTGGCACAGTTTCTACAGCAGCAAAATGATAGCACCAGGCGCATAACTGAAGGCAACAAAAAACGGAGGCTTAAACAGGATGGTGTTTCTGATGATCACTTTGTTGGCCCTACTGATGGACAGATTGTTAAGTACCAGCCTTTGATGAATGAGGCAGCAAAAGCGATGCTCAGGCAGATCATAAAATTGGACTCTTCTTCTATGCTGGAAACTTTCAACAACAGTTTCGAGAAATTCCTGATTACCGATGCTCCATCATCATCGAATGCCTTAGACACTGGAAATTCTTCAAGCTGTAACTCAGGGGTTACTCATCAGGAGGTCCCAACAATTCCTGGGCAATCTTATTTGCCAGTAGCCTCGGGGATTTCTGGTCAAGGTCCTGCAGCTGGGATACCTGAGATTCAGTCTTCCTCTGTTGGTCCAAGTTATGAAACTGTTACAACCGCTCCGTTTTCAACTGCGAGCCCTTTGGTTGGACTACGGGACATGCCCCCATTCTCCCTTCCCCAGACACACACAACTATTCCTGAACTATCCCCATTACAAGTAATGGGGCCACAAAACGGTGTTGATATGTCGAGTGGAAGTTATATGGGACCTGAAGCAGAAAATGTCAGATTTATGGATTCAACCTCATTGGGAGCGAACGGGAAAATGCCCTTGGATATCGACAATTTTAATCCTGACACTGAGATTGATTGGGATGACTCCATGCTAGATGAGATGCAAAAACTTCCTGGCATAAATGACCCCTTCTGGGAACAGTTTCTTCCGCACAGCCTACAACCTGTAGAGAATCAGGATATGGACTCAATAGAAGAAGGTGTTGTCAGAGGAAGTGAAGTGAATCCGTTGGAAAATGGATCGGACGGTGGACAACATATGGAACAGCTTACAGAACAGATGGAGCTTCTTACATCAAATAACAGTATAGTTTGACCTTATTTCACCAAATGTACATTTGTGTCTCACATCATCAGAGGTAAATATTGACAAATAAACTAGTAGTTTTAGTAATCATCATCGCGGTCTTCATTTTCTTGTTTAGAGGAAGAGCAGTAGACACCCTTTGTACCTTTCTACTCCGGCTTTGTTTTGCGCATATCGAGTTCTTTTGAAAGGAAAAGAAAGACCTCATTTTTGTGCAAACCTGAATGCCCACAATAGAGCAGGCATAGCGGTGTCGCCTTTTAATCCTTTCATATAGTTCAATTCTGCATTGTATAATGCAGGTTTTGTTTGAAGATTCTCAGATATAAGCCTATAGTAGATGCTTAGACTCTTCTCATTTTTCTTGTAATATTTTAGCCAAATGTTTTTGTTTATATATCTTTTCGTCGCTTATGTTGATGTGAATATACATAGGTTGAAGAAATTTACATGCCGTGTTTTTTGGGGGTAAATTAAATGCACTCAAGATTGATTATCTAATTTGAATCTAAAGAAGATGGCGGCCTTGTTCTTTCTAGAAAGACGAATAAGACTTGGCCTTCTTCAAATGTTAATGGCATATATACTTGTATAAAAATACGTATTAAAATATATAGTTATCAATTTCAACTTTTCTATATGTTTCAGATAATGTGTGTGTGTGCCGTTTTGGTGGTTCTGCATCTGTTTTTTTTTTTTATATAGGATGGGATACATGAGTTTTAAACTTCTCAAACCAATGTGGAATATTTGATGTTTTAATGGCTACAAGTTAAAACCATTAACACCTTAAATTTACATATAATATACTAGTAACATTGATGTAAAGCTGTATATGCATCTAACAGTGTAACAGTTCTCTTTTGCTCATACTTGTTGCCTCTGTCTAAAGTAAAATAAAAAAATTAATATTTTTATATAAATAATTTATAAATATAATTAAATGAGTTATTTAATCCCTTTTTTTTTTTTTTTTTTTTTGTCCTTTTCCTTTTCCCGTTCTCTTTCATTTGATTTTCTCCTTTAATTTCTCTAAAATATTGTAAATATAATAACTATTGAGCTTCCTTAGGTTTTGCAAAGATCAAAATTTATGGGATTGAAATAGTTCTTAAAAATTTGAAAGATTGAAAACAGTTTTCAGAGAACAACCCAAACCTTTTTATAACTAGTTTTCAGAAAATTTAACCAAACGAAAAATTGTTCTTAGAGTTATTAACTAAGTAGGTCTATTTCTTTCAAATTTTGTTATGATGGAATGTCTTCAAAGATCAAGGCTTTAAAAAAGAAGCAAAAATTTGAGGAGTCGGATTATACATTTTTTGTGGAGTAGAGTCTAAGTCGAATAAAATGAAGTGGATTAGTTGGCGTAAAATGTGTGATTCCAAGGCAAATGGTGGATTTGAATTGAAGGATCTTAAAGTTGGCAAATGGTGGAGGATTGGGATGGAAGGATCTTGAAGTTTTCAACTTGGCGCTCTTATCTAAATTGGTTCCCCATTTTTTGTAAATTATTTAAATTAAAATATTTCAAAAATGATTCTTTTCTAATTTCCTCACGTAACTCGAAGGCTTCTTGGGTGTGGAAAAGCATTTTATCTACAAAGGAGTGATCCTTGCATCAAGAGGGAATGTCACCAAAGTGTGTCGGCCATGAGAGAGATGACAAACTGAGGTTTTGGGTTGATCGAGCAGCAACAATATTGTGGTTATTTCCTTATCACTCATATTTTACTGCTATCTTTATCTCTACTCATTTTCTAACTTGTTTTGATTTATTTTTTCTAGGAGGGCATAATAAATGCACTTGATGAAGGAATCTTTGAAATTAGTTCACGGGACATTGTAGGAATTGTACACCATAGTAGATATAAATCAATGTTTACACATATTATACATATATAAAGAGAGTGATATTTTTGGGGTGAGATTAGTGAAAGAAACATACACTACTAATCTTGAGTTCAATATGATCGCTCGCGAATGTCCTTCTAAAGTTTTGAGTTCAATATGATCGCTCGCGAATGTCCTTCTAAAGTCCCGTTTTTTATTAGTCACAATTTTTAAAATTACACATTCATTTATTAGATATTTATTGCCTTTAAGAAATTAAAAATATAAAATTTTAAGATATAATTACCCTTTAACCTTTAACCTGTTCTTATCTCTCTCATTTTATTCTCATCTCTTCAGTTTTATCCTTTGTATCAATAACATTCTAGATTGCCAAAAAAAAAAAATACTATAATATATTATTTTCTTTCTTTTTGGATTGTCAAAACAAACAATATTATGGGAATGGATTATTTTATTTCCTTTTTAAAATTATATTTTAACTATATATAATATATATATATATATATATATATATATACATATATATATGCTATATATGGATTCAAGTTCAATTCCTATAATCACAATTCATATAGTTTTTTTTTTCTCTCCTCATTAATTGATGTACATGCATATATATAATATGTAATATGTGTGTGTGTATATATATATATATATATGGAAATAAAAAACTTATGGCGTATATGAAGGTAGTTATTTATATATACGAGTATATATATATATATATATATCACTTGCTATCAATATATAGCACGTATATATATGTATATATATATAGTTCAAATATAATTTAAAAAAGGAAATAAAATAATCCATTCTCATAATGTTAGGGCAAATCCAAAAAGAAATAAAATAATATGAATTGTGATTATAGGAATTGAACGTAAATCCATATATAGCATATATATATATATAGTTAAAATATAATAAAAAAGAGGAAATAAAATAATCCATTCCCATAATATTATTTGTTTTGGCAATCCAGAAAGAAAATAATATATTCCCGTGTATATATATATATGTATATATGTTTTTGGTAATATAAGGATAAAACTGAGGAGACGAGAATAAAATAAGAGATATAAGAAAAGATTAAGGGTTATTTTGTCATAAAAATTTATATTTTTAATTTCTATAAAAGCATGAGACATCTCATAATGAACATGTAATCTTAGAAATTGTGACCAATAAGAAGTCATGAATTAGCACTTCTCTTTGCCCAAACAATAACTATTATGAAATATAAGGATGTAGTACTCCAAAGTCCCAAACTAGCTTACACTAGCAAACACCGCTACTCTTTTTTGAGAAATAAATTTATGAGATATTCCAAGAACAACTTTAGTCGCCTCTTCTGTATATTCCTAGTTCTCTCTGAATTAATAAGCCACCATATTTAACATTAACACATACTAATAAAATAATTTATTGCAAGAGGTTATCTACTACAAAATCCACAAATTTGCAATCTAATAACAAATCAGGAATCATTTATCTAGAACTCACCATAATCCTTAATAAATGCAATAACAAATCACGGGTGTAGAACTAGAATAATTTAGACTAAAGCTTAATTTAAGCTAAAGGCCGGAGAATCCCACTCCTTGTATAGACACATCTATCCATTATAAATGGTTATGATCAAATTTAATCAACAGTTTATATCTATTATTTAGAACTCTCTCAAAATATATTGTGTATTTACATTTTTTTTTATGCCTATCCGCACTATTCTAGAATATTTTACATTGCCCTACAATTTTATCAAACTATAAAAACTTAAGAATAAATGCACTTTACACCGTTACATTTTGTTAATAATTTTAATTTTTTTTTTTTTGGAATAATGATTTTTTTCTCGGAAGTTAAAACTTAAAAATAATTTTACTTTATTACCACAATATACAGTGTATCAAATTTGAATTCGACCAAAAGACCATGATATAAAAAATCTTTATTGTCAAAAACCATATTGTGGGGGAACACAAAACACAACTGAATTGACTTTCCCCAAAAAAAATCAACTATACAAACTAAAACTTGGAAAACACGAATTGAAACAAAGTGCATACTATTATATAGGGCTAAAATCATAAAACTCTCCTTTTATTTATAAAAATAACATATAACCCCTTCAATTATTAAAAAAGTCTAACAGTTAAGTTATTGTAAAATGACAATAATACCGATATCATGTTTAAGAAATCATGACTCACAATTCGGAACGTAGTATGATTTGTTGATTTTAAATGAAAACTATGCCTCTACATTCACACACCTGTTAGCAGCCTATTGGCTAAGACTTCAACATTTTTTTTTTTTTTTTTTTTGACCTTTTTCAACTTGACTTTCTCTCTCTACCCCTTTTCAATTCCATTCTAGCAACAGACTACACAGACACATATATTGAGCGATACAGACAGAAACAGACAGAAATAGTTTTAGAGAGAGAAAGTGAGTGAATCAATAAACCACCTGTGAAAAGCCGGCTCATGTATGAAAGGATGGCAGTGGTTGAGTAAGCCGTTGTTTATCGGAAATATATACTCCTTCCGTACTAATTTAGTTATCTATCTTTTTTTTTTTTTTTTTGGTTCCAAAATACTTTCCCCTTATCAAATTTAAATAATATATTTTACATTTTTTTATAAAATTGAAGATGCAAGAAATTCGTTCCCTCTTTCTCTTTCTAGAATTCTTACACTTCAACCAAAAAGATCTTTCATATTTTCCATTCCTTCCCTTATTTATAGATATTTACAAGATATTTACAAGATATTTACAAATATTGACTTGTTGCTGGATCTGGGCCTGTTCCTCCATCAGTCCTGGTCACCTTTGATGGGCTTACTCGCGTTCGGCCCATATGGCAGTGTCTTTATATGGGCTGACCTAGCTGTACGGACCGGATGTAGTGCTTGCAAGTCAGATCCGGCCCATGTCGTCCTGGGCCTCCTCAACTGCCCCCATAATTGCCCCTTATTTAATAAGGGGTAATTATTGATGACGTCTCATCATGACGTTGACGGCTCGAGAAAACCACGTGGGGGAACGGACGGTCAGATCCAGAATCAATGTTCCGGGGCTCGAGGGATTTCTCGCATTCCCGACGCTTCGGCCCTCGGGCCCCCCTCGCCTTTATAAGGCTCTAGAATACCACTTCACGTCCTTTTACCGTCTCCATCATCAGTCAAATCTCTCTCCTTCTAGAACAGTGCTAAGCTTTTCCTGGTGAAATCCTTCAAGAGTCATTCTTCCAGCGATCTTGCAGTCCTCTGAGGTTAGTTTTGTTCCTTTTTACTTTCGGCAGGCTTCCATTTACCCCCTTTTAGATCCTTCAAACACTTCCACCATGGTTGTAGATCTGGATGTTCTTCGTATGAGACTTAGACTTCCTGACAACATCGAAGTTAGGGTTTGCCCTCAGGACGTTAACATTATGACCGGCGCCGGCCTCCTGCCCGGCGAAGTCTTATTCACGAACCTTCAATTGAATGTTGTTAGGTTCCCTCTGCACCCTTTCTTTAGTTATGTCTTCAATAGATTGGGGATATCCCCCCTGCAGGTCA